CCCCAAAACCCCAAAACCCCAAAACCCCAAAACCCCAAAACCCCTTATATAATCACTAAATTTGAATTTTAGAATTTTATTGGAATGTTCATGATCTCTTGCAGTCTCTTCTTTATACTAATACACAAAAGTTAGCTCTACCGTTTACAGTGAAGGCACAAGGGGGTGACAAGGACTGGGAAGGAACAGAAAGTTAAATTGGTGGGAAGAGGTTGGGTGAAAGAGGGGTTTTGGGGGGTAGTACCTGAACTGGTGGTTCTTGGTGAGGGTTTGTGGGGATAGAAGTGGGTGATGGGGCTTGGAAGACCGGATTTTAGTACGAAGCCGTAGAGAGGAGCGAGGCATCTAAAAATAAATAAATCACCCACTTTTCAAGCATTCTTGAGCTTCGAGGATGGACACTTCAGGGCAAGGTTTCTGATTAAATCAGGCTTCCAAAGTTTATGCTTGAAGTCTACAGCCTTCAGTTTCTATGTGATAGAGTAAATTTGACAGTTTTTATTAATACTTACATTAGCATCTTTCAGTCTCCCAAGAACATTCTTATTAAGAGTCACAAAGTTCTTTAGATAAACTACAGTTTCTGGGACTTTACAAAGCTTTATATATTCTTCATTTCCTGATCTTTTTGGAAGCTTAAGAATTGGCTGAGATCCACTCCTTCTGCCTATCTTGGCTGCATTTGTATTCTCTGTAAATTAACCTATTCCTTTACGTTTTTTCTTTCTAAAATTACTAGAGCAAATAAGGTTTCGATGAACTCTATTGGGATTTTCATTTTTACAGAATGATCCATAAGACGAAAAGGACTTTAGATATGATTTGTGTTCTTCTTTGGTTCTTGTGTCGTTATTTTCTAGAATTTAATGTTTATTGAATTGTTCAAAGTTGTAATACTTACCCAAAACTACTTCCAAATGGTGGCTGCTTGCTTTTATGGCTAGAGTTCATTTCTTTCCTGAATTTTGAATAGGATTTCTTCTCTTTAAGGTCATTAGTAAAGCAAGACTTTAAATTTGGGAAAACATTCTTCTGATTGTCATGCTTGTAGAGCACTAAAAATTTTAGTTGAAAATTCATCAGAGATTAATCTCACCATGATACTTCAAAGATTTACTATGCTTCATCTCTGCTCTTACTGAATTTTTCTGAGAAGTTTGCTAAAATTATTTATGTTTCAATAAGAGCAACGGCTAATTTATTCTGATCTAGGAATTATAAAGTTTGAAAACCTCAGTTATGATATCAAATAATTTTACCTTATGGCCTGGAGAAAAGAAGGGAGTATTCCACTTTCCTGGCTTAAGTTTATTTTCATAAAGCTCTTCTGTATGTTCATCATAAGAGCTTTTAAAAGAATCATTATGATTCACAAACTCCTCAATATCAGTTGTTCTTTTTCCTTCTTTGGATTTAACCAAAGAACGAGTATGGTTCATTTTGGCTACTAAATCAGCTAACAAATGTTACTCTGTAACCCTAACCCTGCATTATGAAGATATCAAATGCTAGTCGTTGTGAAATTTCTCTTAACTTTCCTCCTAATACAGTAAAAACAACTTTACAATATTTTATCACTAATAATAGGATTAGTAGCCATATTTTCTTTATTTTCAATTTTCATTTTACATTTTGGGGTTTTGGGGTTTTGGGGTTTTGGGGTTTTGGGG